TCAAGTGATAAATAGCAAAATCTTTTTTTTATGATATGTCTTATCATAAAAGACAAAAGCGTTTTTCACACCCAGGTTGCTCCTTAGCCCTCTGATGGCCAGATTGCATGGGAAGCACTGATCTTCCCCTACAATACCCTCCGCTGTCTTTTTTCACCACTGTCATGGGCCCGTGCTTAATGGAGGAGCAAGTGAGGTGTTAAGTTGTACCATCCCATCCTATAATTGTGGGGGGTTTGTGGTCAGCCATGATTGCCAACTCTGGCATACCAGGGGACAGGTACCATAAAACATTCCACAAGCTAGAGAAATTGTTCCAGACAGATCATTTATTTAGGGGTGACAAAAATAACAGATTCAAGATAAGAGAAGAAAATAAAGGGCATATCAACCTTAACAAATAACTGTTAGATTTTAAATATTTTATTAAAATATATGACTCCTATAAAATTGATTTAGAAATCAATCTATGTCATAGTACCAAAATGAAGAAGAGAAACAATTATTATGTCATCTTTGTTAGATAACAGTTATAGGTCATGGCTTTATTGCCTTAAAATAATCATTACGTCTGTACATTATATTACTTCAAGTTATCTTTAAAATAAAATTCAGTAAACAATACCAATTTCACAGTGAGTTATTTTTTCTGGATAAAAAAATCCATTAAAATATATCTTGCCAAGGGATGGTCAAAACAAACACATATCCCAACAAAGATACCAATTTTGACAGGTCAACAGTTGATGAAAGTGTCTCGGTTTCAAACAAATCATTAGATGTCCCGTGTCAAGACGTGGTTACAACACCCACAAGTGGGTACTTATACTTGTAGCATGGCGACAGCGCCAACACCATGGTCACATTGGTAGCATGAAACTTCTGTCTCCATTGCCACTCCACATGCAATTGTCACATTATGGTCAGCTAAACTATGCAATTGCGGACATCTTGGACAGTGATGACATTATGGTCATCTGATACACTGCCACTAACTGAAGTGGGTTCATAAATAATGGTAGATGGAAAAAAATCTGGTGAAATATTGGGCCAGTTTGCATGTGTTACTATATTGGTACATTCAATAAGCTTTAATAAATTAGTATTTCAGGGGGAAGAGAGAGACAAAGAGATGTGAGGGAGAGATTGCTCTGAAAAAAGGATACAGGAGAGTTTCACTGAAACTGATTGAAAACAAAATGGCATAATGCTAAAATTATAATTTAACCTTTTTTGATAAATAAAAAAAAGCATTCAAAANTTACTATATTGGTATATACAATTAGCTTTAATAAATTAGTGTTTCAGGGGGAAGAGAGAGACAAAGAGTGTGAGAGATTGCTCTGAAAAAAAGATACAGGAGAGTTTCATTGGAACTGATTGAAAACAAAATGGCACAATGCTAAAATTATAATTTGACCTTTTTTGAAAAATAAAAAAGCATAAAAAAATCCATCAAAGATTATCTAATTGGATAATTTTCATCTACTTTAATTTGTGAAGTTCAACAAAACATTTGAACACGTGACTGTACAAATTACCTTCACAGACATACACAATTTGATCCCAATATGCACTCTTAATTAATTAATTTTTGAGGGATGGAGTTAGGGTATTGGTCAATTGAGAAAATGATCAATACAAAGTAAAAGAAGGTAAAGGAAACATAAGGTAGCTTAAAATGTAACTTGCTATTAAAAAAAATAACTAGCTCTATGTGTTGTTCGGCGCAACATCTAAAAATCCTGCCCTTATCTAAAAGAGATATAATGAAATCTTAAAAATGGTTCCAAGTTGTACACTTAAAAATGAACAGTTTTTTTCTGTTTATTAAAAAGTTTGGGAAATGACAAGATTTTGAGAAAACATATAGGTAAAAGTTCAAGACAAAACATTTATCAAAGTTCAATATTTTGACCAAAATTCAAGTTTTTAAGCCCTGGGCCAATTTTCAATGTTTTACCACAGTATCACAGTCTTTTTAAGAGTTCACAGAAATTCACGGAAATTTGCCTGATACGATGAACCTGTGGTGATAACTGTAATTCACATCCTCTCTGCAAAAACAGTTTTGTGGGGAAATAAAAACAAAAACGTTACATGAAAATGTTCATCACGCCAAACATAATTAAGATGACAGAAAACTACCCACGCCAAAGAGTATTTCATGTGATATCTAACTGTTTTCCCCACTAAGTGTTACATGCATTTCCTCAAATGTTCCTGCAAAGCAAAATCACATCCTGAAAAGTTGAATAACATCCTTGATCAGAAAATGTTATGAAATTCTAAACTGTCAATTAAAGTTTGTCACAAAACCTCTAAATTTGCAGCAGCACACCAGTTTGCACTAACAAATGCATATCAACTATTATTTCAGTGCATGTTTGCTCATGCAAAACATATTTCAAATGCATGGGTGCCAGACATCAAGGTATTTACACTGATACCACAGGCTAAAATTTACACAAACAACAGCTAATCATATGATAACAAGGACTTCCAACTTCTCAAAAACGTGGACACCATCTTCAACACGCCTTCCTGCATCGCCCAGCCACCTATCATCTGCAAGCTGCTAGGAGAACAACCCAGAGATAAAAAAAAAGGAGCGGGGTTTTATCTCAATTAGAGGGTTGGAATTTTATGAAATATCAGTACAATCTGTAGAGCAGGCTGGGTGTCAGGAGTCCCAAATGTGTCCAGATCTCATGTAATGGTCACCCTGCTTTCACTTGGCCAGATAACTAGGGTGATTTTCAAGCTGGCTGAACATGTGTCTCCATCAAAGAAAAGAAGTTTAAGTTCATTTCGTTTTAGCACTCTACCTGTGGGTGAGATAATAAAACCATCCAGTCCAATTTCTAAATCATTTGACAAGCTAATGACAGGGTAGGATCCCTAGGTAAATGAAAATGTAGGGTAACATAGTTATTAGCCGTGATAATGAAGCTAAATGCAGCATTGGTGTGAAAGCTTTCAGGAAGCAACTTGCTACCTAGTGTTGTACGGCATCCAAGTAAAATGCCATTGGTTGCTGTAGCACTGGTAGCTTGATCACCTCTTAAAAAAACTGCAGTGGCTCTAACATACCTTAAGCCCTTTAAAAAGAAAAAAATGGTTAATGTGCATGAAAATTATTTGTAGCACATCAAAACTCTAGTTAAGGGCAAGAAAAATAATATAAATTATAATTTTATTACAAAACAAATGAGAGATGGATGTGTGTGTGTGTGAGAGAGAGAGAGAGAGAGAGAGAGAGAGACCGATCAGTCAGTCAGTTGCGCAACAGTTATTACACACTCAATGAAGTGATTAAATTCTATGGTGAAAAACAAATTCATTTCCAAGAAACTCTGCAAGTTCTTTTTCATCATTTGATTTCAGGCAATTAGATCAAATACCATTTTTTACAGATATCTTGTCTATTTTTATGCATTTTTAAAGACTTTTTATTCCTAATCAAGAAGTGCTTTTCTCTGTCCTCCTCCCACTAACAAGCCAATTAAGTAAGATAATTCTTTAAAAGAAATCATAGAACTCCCTGATATCACGGATTCAGAGTTAATTGCACATAATCTGCTATAATCTAGTAATCTACAGTGAATTCAGTACTGCAAAAATAAAAAAGGCAATCACTTAAATATGGATTATTTTTTCTGAAATAAAAAACAATACTAATAAACAGACAAACATTGACAAAAAGAAAGTTTTTATGTAGACAACATGCTGGCAAATCATATCATGTGCAAAAGTTCCAAAGGAATTCATGATATGACACAATCCAACAGACAATTATATGAACTATGTAAAAACAGACAGCAAAGCTGTCAAATATGCCAACATAAAGCATAAAATAATGATGACAGTGCACAAAGTAATCTGACAATGCTTAATGGAATAACCACCACCAATTTTAAATCATGTACTTATGACAATGTAAACATTCAGAAAATGTAACTGATATAGGGTTTCATGAGGGTTGAAAGTTACCTTAAAAATACCAATTTGTGGAAAATGAAAAATTTGCAAAAGATTCATAAGTTCATGAAAAAAGGTTCAATAAAGCTGCTATTTGAACATGACATATAAATTTAATACCAGAAAACACTTTAGTAAGTTTGAGGATAATAAGTAACATAGTTTTCCACACACTACATTAACAGAAAAAAAGTGCACAGCGACAACAGCAGGCCAGGTTGATGGCTTTCTGTACACAAGTATACTGATATTGCTCATTGGAAAGATATACACAAAGGCATGTGTTCATGCACAGCAAAAAAATGCATAGATGTTGCTTTTTGTTTGTGCATACATCAGGTTGTTGTGTGCATCTACATCTGTATTTACATTATACATCTAGCTTGCCAGAGGAACGTTTTGTAAAATCCTTTCAGATACTTCAAACAGACAGAAAATGGGGAGATAAGGCAATTCAATTTCAGCAGGTCTGTGAACAAGACCTGAAATGTGTGTGTGTGTGTGTGTGTTGGTGTGCATGCATGCATGCACATCTGTGTGTGTGTGTGTGCGTGTGTGTGAGCATGTGTGTGTGTATGCACGTGTATGTTTTTATACACATGTGTGTCCTAGGCACAAGCATTAACTCCAGTGACTAAATGATTGATCACTTGAAGTTATCATAAGTGATTCTCGCCATTTCGCAGCACTTAGTGTCATTTTAGCAGGCAATTATCAAGGGAGGATGGAAAGTGATTGACTGGCACTATGCAAAATAGAGAGAAATAATTGCCTTGTCCATTTGTGGAGGGGATATTGGCTAAACTTACTGACCAGCCCTTTTTGTGAACAGCCCCTTGTTGACCCAGCATGCATGTGGGCCAATTTGCCTGTTCAAGAACTATTAAACCCCTTGAGTGGAATTTCAAATTATGCCCTACCCTTGTGCCAAACCTGTTCAATTGGCTGGTGGTAATTTCCCTCAGTTTTCTCATGTACCAACCTGGTCAACACGCATGTGTGTCAACTTGTCAACTCACCCTGTGGCCTCCCGTCTTTTTGGGGAGATTCAATCATGGCGTCTGCCAAGGTCTCACAGAGGCTTTCTTCTGGGACATCGCCACTCCTGGTTGGCAAGGCCGGCGCTATCTGCCCAGACACCTCAGGCCAACTTCCACACACTTCAACCAAATTGGGTGACTGCTCAAAGCTGCCTGGAAAACAAAATCAAAGATATTGTAAGCGACACTGACAAAATGAGATTAACAAAAAAGCCACACTTTTTCATATCCTGTTTCTGGTGGACTGCTTTTGTCATAAAATCTGCCATTATTAATTTACATCTTCCATTTTTTTTTGCCTGAACATTATTATAAGCTGTCTTGCCTCATATACAACACAAAACCTTGCTTGTAGTGAAAACCCATTGAGCAGCTTTGAAAAAAAAAACATTTTCACATCATCATCTTTTATTTTTTCCCTCGCTTTTAATGACAACATCACAGAACAACTTAAAAGAAAGAACATTTTTCACATCATCATATTTTATTTTCTCCTCTCTGTCAAGGTGTCTTTGTTAAGGAACATTAACTGTCTTCCTCCACTCCTTCGCAGGCAATGAGGTGATCAACACCAAGGGTTAATATCAACGTTGTCAACGATAGATAAAAAAAATCATTTCATGTTATAAATCAATCTTTGAAGTTATTTTTCTTTACTTTATCACGCAAATGCCATTCATAAGTATCTGAAGACACTCATTGTATCTTTCCGGTTACATAAAAAAGCAAGCCAAGCACCCCTGCTTGATGGGGATACTTAACAATGGCAGTGTTTGATCAACCCAGGGAACTATCACTTATTTTCTTCTTTACGTCAGTGGTGGCAAGAACCTGTGTGGTCTAATATTTATCTTCACTGTTTTTGCACCTGACACCAAATAATCACTGGACTCCTGATCTTCCACCCAATACAGTAAAATCTGGATCTCACAGGACCAACTGGCAGTTGACATTATGTCGTAATGTGACATACTGTGAACATGTCAATATTAGACTGTCACCTGAATCTGTGTCAACCAAATAATGAATTGCATGGGTGAAAATTGTAAAAAATGAAAATCCTAAAGATGTAGCTTGCAATTTCTCAATGCTTTTAGAAAAATACAATCAAAATAAGATCAAAATGGAAGATTGAAAATCCTGAAATCAGGCATAATCCTACAAACTTTCACCCATGGAATTGCTTGTTACATTATTTAGAACTTGGCATAGAGGTTGCAATGTAAAATGAGTCATAACAAAAGTGCATTATTAGCAGTATTATGTACGTAAAGGTTTTCATTATACATTAACAAATGTAACTATTGTAAAAAAATGTTAGGTGATAGCATTTCTGTAAAAAATGTGCTAAACCAAAATAGATTATTATAAAATTATATTACTTTCTTACTAAGATGTCCTGGAAAAGCAAACTAATAAGAATTTCCTCTATGGTTCGATGTACTACTAGAAATGTGAGTAAACAGTTACCAAAAGAAACCACACATCCTTCAGCTTCACAGTGCTGTCACAGGAAATAATTTACTGCTTTTTTTTTTTTTTTTTTTTTTTTTTTTTTTTTTAATACGAATATCATAGTTCTTTTTTTGTCAAAAATATCATATACTAGTTTTAAATTTCTGTAAAAAAAAAAAAAATTACATTAAAAATTTTACAACCAAGTTTATACCTACAAAATGACATGTATCCCAAAATGAAGTGCTAACTTTGCTTGTAGGAAATCACAAAATGTTACCTTGGACATTGAAAACAAATCAGAAAACTCAATCCATCTGGTAAGTCATTAAATCTGAATAAAAAATTAACGTCTATTTCTACGTAATGATATCAAGTTAATTCAAGTCCTATCACATTTATCACTCAATTCATGGAAAATGTTTCCGATATTAAATCATCATAACCATATACAAGTGTCTTTTGGTTGATTACCCTTCATATATTTTCGGAACTAATCTGCAGCACTTAATAATGAAGTAGTGCTGCTGGTGACAACCAGGGGCCTGATCTGTACAGCCTCCATTTTTTACACACGCTACAGATTTAAGCCCAAAAACTATGTTTAAATGTTCTACAAACTACATTTATTAAACCATGACTATGACATATTAGGGACAAGAAACTGTACATAGTAAAATGCCTTCATTATGCTAATTTGTGGTGAGGTTTGCTTTCTGTGTGATAAGAGTTGTAAACTGGGTGGCTGAACTAGTTTTTTTTTCTCTAACCAAACTAACTTTTGAATGAAGTCGATATATGTGAAATAAAACATGGCATGCTAGCCCCTGATTAAGTTATTAAAAAAACTATTTCACTAAGAATTGAAAAAAACAACAACAACTTGAATACAAAATATAAATATAATCTATGGCACTTCTAACAGCCATTTGCAATTTCCAATGCTACAAAATTGATTTATGTCTATAAATATGCAGTCCCATCAGAACAGATGCTATGCAAAGTGTATTGTAGCATTTGTTTCATCTATTTCATTTCACTTATTTGTCACTTTACTTCAATACTAACCACTTTTTGCCCTGTAATCTCTCTAATATCTTACCAATGAATAATCAGATGTAAAAAAAAATTCTTTTTACATACTCAATCATATTGTGATGACACAGAGATTAGGATAAACTATCCTTCTTTACTGAAAGAAAGGCAACATACTTAAAACATAAACTGAAATATATCTTAAACATAATTATAGTAAGTCACGGTGTCACAGTAAAGCAAAATGTACCCAATGCAGCTACATAGTACAAAATAAATAAATAAATAAATAAATAAATAAATAAATAAATAAATAAATAAATAAATAGTCAGTCCCTACACGAAACCACAGTCATGTTAAACTGATTGGTGTTAAATTTAGACATTTAAAATCAAGAAGTAGGGTTGCATCACAGGTGATGAATTATAGTTAGCCTTTTTAAAATAGCTGGATTGAGTTTTCTGATTTGGGAGAGTATTGTGTAATAATGTTCCACAAGTGTGCGCAAAGAATTTATCAACAATCTCTCACAGTTCTGTTAAAATGATCATGGACTTGGCATTTGGTACAACCTTTCAAATTTCTTAGTTTCAGGACAGTCACACCCCCCCCCCCACCCCCTTTAATGAAATCTTCACTGAATATACTCATGCCAAAGTGAAAATAAGACAAATGATACAATAAAATTTATACCTCATGCAGCTTTCTTCTTCTACTTTATTTTTCTTAGTTTCTGTACTATCAGTAGAACAAATTTACTATCATTCCACACTATGATCTGTATGCACAGAGAGCAGGGTAAAGTATTCACAGGGATTGCCTTTCACAAAAATTAACCTTTCTTGACTTGAAATAGTAAACAGACAGTGTTCTTGTTAGGCCAGCTTAAAGGTTGAGGTAGGTTTGCTAAGAGATCTTATCTCTTATGAATTTAACAGTCAAAAGATGCAACAGCAAAATGTCAGCAGCTATCAGTATAATTTCAAACAAGCTGTTTAGTCAGGATCATAAATGACTAGGGAGTTGGCCGACCGATCCAACCTCAGTTATTGGCCTGAGAATATCAAAGGTCTCAGACAGTTTCTCATGATTAAGCAAGTAGATTAAATTTGTCGACAAGGTTCTCAGAACCTGATCAGGCAGACATGCGGGTTCATGCAACCACTCCATGCCTCTAATATATGGTTTGCTTTCTATTTTCTATTTCATTTTTTGGTTTTTTCGACATGAGAGTCCACCGGGAGTCGGTGTGGCTTTTCACGCTGGAAAAACAAGCAGGCAAAAGTACCATCAACTGAGCTTTAATTATAGCTGTATTATGATGAGTGGCAGTTGATTGATGCTCTGAACATTCTGCACTGGTGGGAGAACACACTGGAGCTGGCACTACCAGGAGGCTCTCAAATCTAAGTTACTGTTTGCTAATTGGAACAGCTCTACCCTAATCCTATGGGGACCAATAACCAAGGCAGGCAGAACATTAATGCCATAAATATAATTTTGCACACACAATTATCTCATGACATGATGTGCACTTTCACAATTAAGTTGTTGCAATTTTGTGCCTGATGTGGTTATTACTGTGCTCCTATTCTCTCTTTGGGACACATCAGTTGGCACGGCACAGTCACCCTTGGGTTTGTCTCAGCTACCACAATAACCAGAGATTTGGCTGGGAAAAAAATAAATAATGGCAGATACTAAATGACTTGATATTCCTTTCCCAATTTTCATTTCTTGACAACATATTTGCTTTTGATGTTTATATATTATCCTATCCATCATTCTACTAAAAATGTATACATCCCCTTTTTACTAGCACCAGGGCTTTAAGGACATATTCATCCTCCTAATATAAATTGTACAGATCTAGTTTAAATGCCCAGGAATTAATTGAAAATGAATTGCTTCATTTTCAGTTCTCTAAATTCCTTGAATGGATACTTTTACCACTGAGATAACCCAGAGCACTTAAATAAGCATGTATGTGTGTGTGTGTCACTCAAAATGGTTTTTATCCTTCAAAAAAATTTAAAAAATAATAAAAAAATTCAATTTTTTGTCAGTCTGAGTATAAATTCGGTGAAAAATATCACTAAAATGAGTTTTGGAATCTAATAGTTGAACCTCTTGCACTTCTTTGTTTTCCTCTGTATTTAACAGAAATCAGGAGCTTGGACAGGAACCTCCAACTTACAAAGTCAGATACACTAAAGCTCTTAGAAACTAGGTTTCATAAATGATTCCTATTAGAGAGTTCTGTTATACCAAACATGTTTTTTTTTACATACATTCAAATATGTCAGATCAAGGATGAGTCCAAAATTATACTAAAATTGGGAAAAAGTATAACTTATATCACCAGTGTTTATCATGGAGTGTAGAAATCCCTAAGGATGTCTCTCAGACTACATGCGGCTGACGTCAGTCTGGTTTTGCACTTCCCTTACATTCCGAGAATCCACTAAAATGAGTTAGGAATTTGATCTCACAACTGGTCTTTTGTTATTGATAAATACAGAGCTTAATGCATTTGTTCCTTAAACAAAATGGCCTTTTCCTCAATGTTTTACCTCTACCACCGGTGTTTGATTGCTTTGCTGTTACTTACAGGTGATGTATCAAGTGTTATAAAAGTAGACATTTTGTGTTTAGACAATGAACTTTATATATATTATCATAACTATCAATATGACAATTAGTGTCTTCTGTTGATACCTTAATGAGCTAGAGAAATATGTCTATAGGTGTTACACGTTCAGTGTTATTTGTAAGATCACATCAAACTGCATTCATGTGATTCAATCTGGCTATAATAATTCAATATCTTTGTTTTCTATGACAAAAAAATAAAAAAATAAATAAAAGTCTTTTCTTAATAATATATAACTCATGATTATGTATAAATGATACTATTTTTTTATCCTCAATAAACCATCTCCAATGCACCTCCCCTCTTTCCAAGGTGTTCCATATACCAACATGTTACAACAAAATGAATAAAGAAAGAAAGAAAAAATAAATAAATGAAAAAAGGAAAAAGCAAATATTTTGTAACACAAACTAAGGGTGTCCTCTTTTAAAAAACACTGTACCTCAGGTGCGTAGCAATTAAGGTATCCAAGTACCACATGCATTGATTTAAGCAACCTGTCTCAATGAAATCACTTCCTTTAATGCTAATAATAGCCTTTTCATACAGCAAATGTGACAATCACATCATTATCAGTTGTACTGCTCATTATCGTCATTCTCCTGCAGACAACAAACTGGACAGGACTGAAATTTACTACTTTTAAACTTATGGACCCAGGGCAGATCATTTACGTCTTCTCTAGGTTACGTCAGTGACAAAAAGAAGTAGACATAGAAAATGACACACATAAGTACAGACATTAAATGAATAAATTCAAAAAGACAGATTCAGTGACATCTAGACAAGACAGATAGTGAAAGAGAGATGTTCACCTCAACAACAGGTTAAGTCTTTCTTGAAGAAGAAAATGCTTTTCACTGTTCCCAGTTTCGTTTGGTTTTCTGACCAACCAACTATATCCACTATACTACAATATATGCAAATAAATCTTTAAAAAACATGCTTAAAATAATCTGGTCATGCTTATTTTTAAAAAGAAACCTTGTTTTAACAAGTTAAAACATACACAGCCATTTTAATGGTAATTTGAAGTCAACTAAAAATTATGGTTTGGAACTTATGGGGGTAATATCTCCAAAATATGATCAGTACTACTGCAGTACTATGAGGTCATGGACAGACTTCTGTCTTCTGTTGAAGAGAGTTCCTGTTCACAGCCCAATGTGCTAAACTGGCTGACTGAAATATGCTACTAACAACACCTAACAAATTATCAGACAACCCTAGATTCCATTTAGTTCATGCAAAGCAACCAGAATACAGACAAGGCACTCTTGGCAACAGTCATAATAACATACAAATACTTTTTTTTTCATAATTTTTCACAAAAACATATTTGATGCAAGATTGAGACCCTTGACACATAATATATTAGTGGGCTTTTCTTCTGAATTTTTCCACAAAAAAACATATTTCAAACAGTGAAATCTGACTTTCAATATGCTTTTGAAATAAAATGAAATGAACAGGCATCATTTAGTTATGATATTTCAATATCCTTATATACTAGTCACTTTCTCTTTCCCATTTGCAATAAGTTTTTATTTAGCTAATTTTTAAGCATAAACTTAAAAAGTAGCTTATCATGAGAAAGTTAACAAATGTCAGTCATAAAAACTCATAAACACAAAATTGAGAAAACAGGTCCTGCTAAATGTTTTGCTCACCTGCTTCAATAGAGAACACAGGTGTTGGACTGTAGGTGTCACTACTGGTTGATCCTCTCTGCGCCCTTTGTCTGCCAGGCATGGCTACAGGACTTGATCGTGTAGGTTGTAGGCTGAAATAGTTCCATTTCATATTCATTATGGTTAAAGGCTTCCATAAAACATATTAATACATGAAAAAAATTCAAACATTCTCATTTATTAATTGCAATAAGAAAAACTCCATAAATTCCTCATTTGCTCATAGGCAACAAAATTATAGTTTCGAAATATTTATTAGATTTAATGTAAATTAAAAGCATGGATGGAACAGCAACGTAAATATTCATGCAGGTATGTGTTAATTCACCTTACTGTCAAGTGATATATCTAACCTATACTACGTAACAGTGGACATCAAGAATAAAAGACCCAGACATTGCATAAATGGTGCCCATGTGTAAACAGCATGAGATAAACCCCATCTGAAACTTTTGTTTACAAAACATCGGCCATGGCATAAACTGAGATACTCAGGGTGTGACTTTCCAACTTACGGTAAACTCTGCAGGTCCACCTCATCACTCAGTATGTCTGTGGTTGTGATTTGTGTCTCTGGACTTTGTGACAGTAAAACTGATGAATTTGATGACAGTACTGTCGTTGTGTTCTGTGTATTCTGGAATGTCTTAAATGAAAACTGGGGTCCCATCCACAACCGCCTATGTGGCCCTGCATGAGTGATGATCTCAACCTACAAGGAAAAAAGGAACTTAAAATATCATAATAATAGGCTGGGCTTTTACTGAAAGACCCTCCTTGATGACCCTCCTCCATCAATCCCTGGAGGTTTTGGGCACAAGTAGAATACAAAATAAACTTTCTTCAAATAACATCTTCTTATTACAACTCAGGATGCCATGAAGTTATTTGGACTTTTTACAATTAGACTTAACTTTATGTGTATAATTGTGTCTTCTTGCCCTGAACAGTCATATATTTTTAAGTCTTACCTGTTCAAGTGTGTACTTTCCCAAGGGAAGCCCACCTGGGCTTATTTTACTCAGCCACTCACCTGTGATAGCCACTGGTCATCCATGTCTTCTTTAATACTACTGTGATCAGATGACAGACTGGACTCGGAGTCTACGCGCTGGACTAGGCCAGCATAGGGATAGTCTATAATATATAGATATATATATACAGTTGTACTGGCTTGGCTTACAATAACCAAATAAAAAAAAGCATGGCAGTAATGTGCGTTCATTTGAAATTCTTGAATACAATTGAATGCTTATTTGTAATCTGTTAGAACAAAACTATTATTTATGGAAAATAAGTAGTCACTTGGTAATGTAAGTTTCTAAAATGTGTTAGATACAATGATTATCTAGATATGTGTGTACATATCTTAATCTATACTGGTGTTATTATCTCTGACTACCAGGTGTAACAAGAACTGATTGAAAAAACATCTTCATTTTGTTTGCTGCTGACAAACGTTATATCGGAGAAGATAATTAGGCATGTGGATTTGATAAAACTCCCACGCAAGACTGCAGATAAAGAGAAGAGACAATGTCTGAAGATGAAGGTGGCTGGTTGGGTGTGCCAAAATTGTCAAAGTTGGTAAAATTGACTATGATTTTGGAACAGTTCAGGCTAGAGACTTACTTGTTGTCAGTATTTGTAGAAATTATACAGATTGAACAAGGACAACATTTATCTTAAAGCGTTTAAGTGTGGTTTGNTATCATATCCTCATGGCGATCATAACCCAAATAAAACACAAAAAGACAGACTACCTGTGGATGAAGAGGGTTGTTGAGTTAAAACAGCATCTGTTGCCAGGATCAGCTGATTGTTACTTGACAATGGAGGCTTCAGTTCAGCAGCATGGATTGATCTGGAATATGTTTTTATACAGATAAACAGGGTACTAAAATATTCAACAAAGTGACAGAGATATAAATATTTCAAAAGCAGAAACCCAGGATAAGAAACCTTGCTCTTCAATTATGCTGCTGCCAAGATTCCTTCCAGTACAAGGGAAAATGATACAGTCATCATTCCTTCATCTTGAAAAAAAAACTAACTAATAAGTATTGCTCCAACCAATGTACTTATATTAAAATTTATAAACTTATGTTTGATGTTTCTGAATAGTAGACTTCATGTCAAAAAGTACAATTATGTAAGTGTTTCAAAATAATAATTTTTTTAAAAAGTAAAATACTGGAATAAGTGAGATGTTTGAAAACTTGAAAACCACAGAACTGTTTTTCATAAAACAACACAAATTTCAAGTTTTTGAAGTCATGACCACATGCACATATATATATCAATATTGAAGTCCAACCTTTGCAAATTCCACTGTGCCCTGGGGACAGCAGTGACCTCTATTGGGGCTTCATCACTGATCTTGTCAATGCCTGGCTTCGGCTTCACATCCAGCACGTATTCAATAAGACTGCCTCCCCAACCAAACACATACAGTGAGTCTATGGCACGCTTAGCATCTGAAACAATGGCTTAAGATGAAACACTGTGTTCAACAAGGTATTCCTCAAAACTATCTTAAAACAGTCATAGAACTATCAAGCAACAAAATCATCCATGAAGAGCAGAGAAACTACGTATTTGTGAAAAAAATTAAATAAGGTATGCAGGCAATGAGGTTGTTATCATCATCTAGCCAATCTGTTTTTTTTTAAATAAAAGTCCAATGTATTGAATTAAGAATATTGTAATGACTGATTCAATTGGTTTACAAATTTGACGTATCCTTTCTCACAATAAGAAAACAGCTTTCAATAAGCCTGACTGCACAGACATGACTCAGACATGACTCAGACATGACTGGACCCAGTATCAACTCACCACCTTTCTCCCTCATGGCCCCAGCCACCCAGCCCTTCATGGGCCCAAATGCTGCAGCCACGCAGAGGGTTTCCACGGCCGACCCTGGGGTCTGTCCTGACTTGGCAGCTGGCCCCCCACTTATGCTGGCCAGGGTCAGGGGCTGCTTGATCTGCACCAAGGGGGTACATGGTAGTGGGGTGGGGGTAAGGGGGAAGCCTGGGGTTGATGCTGTTATTGTTGAGAGCATTCTGGTGCAACAGTGTGGGGTAGTGTTCATGATAAGCTGAAATGAAAAAAGAAGAAAGTGTTTTTTTTTTATTAGAGTGATGCATGTTCAAGTTAGCTGCAACACACATTAAAGCTACACTGCCACATGAATAAAAAAACATAAACAGAAAAGCTTACGAATTTCACGGACCACACTACAGTAGGAAATTATACTGAATTGTGACTTAAATGTTGATGTTGTTTCATTTATTTATTTGTCGTTGTTAATAAGTTAAAAAGAGATTATTGCAAAATATGTTCGCAAGCTTGAAGTAAAGCTCATGATCTAAGCTTGGATGCTCTGGAACATGACATTATATTCATATAATGGCATGCAAGACAATAAGGTCAAGGAAAGTACAATGAACTGATATATTAAATTTAATGTAAATGAAAGTATAAAAACAAAATGAACATGCTATTATCACATTGTGTAAATATATAGGGTGAATAAGCAAACTGCAATTTTTAGATTTCACTAATTTCAAGATTCATATCAAATCACCGTATAGATCTTTAAGAAGTAAATAAGTTATTATAATGATGCATCTATGAAGATCTACTGTAAAGATATAATAACTAACCCAAGTTTCGGCCCCTAGGAAAATCCCTGAACAAGGCGTAGATGCATCAGTATAATAACTTATTTAGATTTCATTAATTCAAACACTTTTCGATGCATGACCTCATGGTATTGCCTCTGGCACATAAAAAGGGGCTGTCCCAATAGCACTTGTGGCATTTTGGTGGTGTTCAATGGAAATATCAAGGTCCAAAACACAGTGTAAAGTTTGTTTTGAGGTTAAGCTGGAATTGTAGATTTGGACTATCATTTGTGTTACTGAATCCTACATAGAGCAGTGTAAGGTGAAATCTTATCAAATTCCAATGGAAGACTTAAGAATAATTGAAATCTAAAATTCAGTTTTTAACCCATCCAATATTTACTAAAGTGCATTAAACACATCATATTTAGGTTGGTGTACCATGAAAAATACAATTCATGCAAATACTTGGATGCTACACATATGATTTCTCCTAGTCAAAATTACCTTTGCAAAAACAGCTTAACACAGTTCTACGCCAGACTAAACATGGAGACAAAAAATGTTTCAGACAACAGTTAACATTCTCTTTTCAAAACAAATGTAGTGAAATTACACATTTTTATAGGTGAAAGTGCAAGCTTAGATGAGGAATTGCATGGGAATGTTTTACAAGAATGAAATATTTGCAACTACTGCATGAAAAAATAACCCAAGATCTCCTCAAATGATAGCCACCTAACATGCTAATTATGCTCTTGAACTACTCTCAAAGTGACTATTAGTGTGAAAAAAAGAAAGAATTTTTTCCCCATAAAGTTATGGTACAGTATAAAATTCTAACAAACAGAAAAAAAGAATCATTTGAACTCAAGAGCCACATAACCTTGATAAATTCCCATAAACGTAAAATTTCATCATGGAGAGCAAGCAACAAGCATATGTCCTCCAAGTGGTCATCAGCCAAAACTGCACAATTATAATGCAATCAGTACCACATTCGGCAACTCTTTAGTCTTCACACAACATTAAATTACCTGCGTTACTTCCCCCAGGACTTCCAGACACAGTCACAGGGCTATGGCGGCCTGTGGCTTGCTCGATATCATCCAAGCCAGCACTGCGATGGAACCGGCTGGAACGATTGACAACCCTGGGCGAGGTGTGCGTACGTACTGTGATAGGACCTGATGAAGAGAGGTTACTGAATCAATAGAAATTATTGTAAATGATATTCTAGTGTACCAGACAACATTTCTATAATTCCAGATGTCACATTTGAACAAATAACCTATATTAAGTGAAGAGTTTTCTTTCAAAACATTACAAAAATGCTAGAGAAGTTGCACATGTACATAGTCTAAAGCATGGAACCAGCATATCTCCTGTGCTAGTTATGTCAATATCTGTCATTACTCAAGTAATCTCTGTAGAAATACATAAATAGCCAGCAGAAGTCCACAGGATGAGGATTCAACTATTGACCACACAATAAATTCAATAAGTGATTTTAAAAACTATATATGCTTTGAAGCAATTTCAAATTTAATCCACATGTAAGTATGTTGAAGGGATACTTGGACCATGGAGCCCAAAGACATACACAAGGATAAGGAAATCACTTGTATATTTTGTCTTTAAATGGTTTTTAATGTATTGTGCTTTTAATCACACCAATTATCCCCTACAGCTGCCCTCACCTCCATATGTGGTCATAGGAAACAGGTGTGTGGTCCCTCTGAGCGTGCTCACTGCAACCCACCGACTGTCCATTGTAAATGTCACATCTTGCACCTGCAGGGTTTTTATATAAGGTTAGAAAATTAAGCCAAGAGAATGCGAAAATTGGACTCTGAGGATAAAACTATGAAAGAGAAACTGTCAAGTTATTACAAACTTCAAAAATATGTTGAAAATATAATAATAATAATAATAATAATATCTCAATTCTTTTGATTGAAATGACATAAACTGGGTTTGGTGACTTTGGGAATTTAACAATACCGATTTTAAGGTGTAAACTGTGTATGTTATTCAAATACCTGAAGCCTTAGGATAGAACTTTTCAATATCCTTTCAGCCAATGATACAGTTGGTGTGTTTTTGTACTTTGAATTTCCACAAGATACTGATATTCAATATTCAATGACATTAATTTGTAAATGAGAGGGAAAAAAAGAAGCAACCTACAGTAAGAAGTAACAGACTGCCTAGATGACAAGTTTCATACCTTTGCTGTAGTGTCTCCTCTGTGTAGGGTATACAGGTGATGCACTGCCCCCATGGAGGAACTCCAAGGATGGGCCATGATGCGAAATATGTGGAAATTCTGTCCCAGTCTGCAGGCAGTAAATAGCAGTATGCCACTGGGGTCAAAACTCAGTGCCGACACAGGCTCACTGGCATGTGCTGGGAAGTGGGCCAGAATGCCTTCGCCATCGTACTCATCTGCCACGCAAAACTGGAGAGAGAGAGATGTTGCAGTGCATGCATGAAAAATAACGTTAGCGAGGTTTTCCCAAGAAAGCTGTACAGCTGTCATTTGGATGGCCACTGGCCTCAAAAGATGGCCTATTTTTTTTCAAACAAGGCTAGACAGCTTATGAAATTTTTGGGAAATGATGATATATTTGTAGTTGGACTCTCTGTAAATCTTTGACCAAATTACAGATCAAAATTTTGGACTCCCTGTACCCCAAATCTTCAGAAACTGCTGATTGTGAGCAATAACTTTTGTTTTGTGGTATGTTACCTACATAACTGTAACACAAAATGTATCAGAAATATGAGATCTTTGATTGACCTTTTTCAACTTCCATTAACCATTTGTGATAAAAGAGATATAATGCGTTCAGTACAAATTGTACATGTATATAATACATATTTTGATAATAAGAGTTGAGGGATTAAAGAACCAAAAGTTAAGCAATAATCACAGAATGCTGTCACAGGCTTTGGTAATACATACATACATACATACATACGTCTTTTCATCAGACTTCAATCTTATCAGTGCATATAGCGGGTATTCAGAGCAGATGATCCGCGGACTAACTGATCTGCTGACTAAATATGGCCGACCCCACTAAAAAGTGATGCTGTTTATTCCATGATGGTCTCCCCACCTCCGCCTCCATTAAACGGATTAAATCTTGGCTCCGAGGTTTAATTGCTAGGCTCCTGCAGTGACAGCACGTGTGGAGGGGGAGACCGTCATGGAATTAGCGACATCACTTTTTAAGTGGGGTTGGCCATATAAGCGAGAATCCCCTTGGAGATAGTTCGATCCAAAGTTAGTAAGATAGTCTCTGGGAATGGTCTCTTAGTCCGCAGATCATCTGTTCCTAATGTGCTCATACTCTACCTCTCCCTTAATCTTCTGTATATCAATAATGGTGACTATTCCAGGAGTGTGGTCTGGGTCCGAGACACTGGGCTCTTTTTTGTGAGGCACCGGCTTGTTTCCAGTTAAACTGCTGGTCACAGTCTCTCCAAACATCTGTAAACCTTTTGTTATTGTCTGGAAAGAAAGCAGTACTAGTATTTATAACATCTCTCAGTGCAATAAGCTCCACATGATGTACATATATTGATATTTACAAAGGTGAATGGGAGGTTTTAAATTTTCAAATGGAAAGTTGATGAAAGTTGATTCACCAAAGTTTTAAGTTCATATTTGTTTTTTCATTATATACACGACATCAATCCTCAGAGGATCATGTGGGAGATAAGTTTTAATTAGCATGTTTTAACATCTTTAAATAAAGGCTGTGACTTTTATTATTATTATTATTATTATTATTATTATTATTATTATTATTATATATCATGTATACCTTTGCTGCATTGATCATGGTGGCAGCATAGGACTGGGCCCCATCTCCTGTCATCCCACCACAAGACTGATGCATAGGCACCAGCTGAAACAACAAACAAATAGAACAAGTTTACATATGGTTAAAAATACAATGGATTCTTCAAACAACAGATGAAACTCAAAGAGTTATCACCACTCTGATAAATTGTCTTTCGTGCAACCTCTGTGCTATCTGCGTCGTTTTACATAATTACATGTTTGATAGTGACAGAGGTTTTACATTAAGTCTTTTCTGTAATGACAAGGAAAAATTATTGTTTCTGAAGATGCCAAGACTCAAATCTAGAAAACATGTTTAAAACATTTTTATTTCTTTGTCTTCATGTATGCCTCTACCTATTAATTTACATGGTTTTACCAATACACACCTTCTGGTCAGCATATGCTAACCACCTTGTCCCCAGTGCCACAGGATTCATGTCAGGTCCTTTGGAAGGGTAACAATCTGAAAGAAATACACTCATTTCTCATACACAAACAGGTATCACCAAATTGTTTAAAATAAACCAACCAACATATGTTCAATTAATGAAATATATATTGCTTACATCATACAGTGACATCTATATCTAATTTACAGAGGCAAAAGCAAATGGACGGGCAAAACTATTCAACTTTAATTTTCTCCACCGCTATGTAATTAAAGTAACTTACTTGTTACAGTCAGTACTTTACAAAACCTGCATGTGTCAAACACAGACAAACTTCCATGTAGGCCTACCACCATTACCCTGCAATGAAAAATTACCTTATCACCTTAGAATATCTCACATAAGGGATGTTTTTCTAAACAAAAGTAGCATTTCACTTATAACTGTAAACCCATGAACCTTCACCTGCCAAAAATGCATGTCATCACAAATATCCAAAATGTGTATGTAATCACAAATATCCAAAATGTAAAAGTGATTATTTTCCCAAAATGTAATCTGGAATAAAAAGTATCTTGTCAAGCTTAACCTACCTTTTATTAGCCTGAATGTTGAACACTGGAGATGGAAATGATATGCTGTGCACTTCATCTCCAGTCTTTAAGGAGAGGAGCTTCACAGAGCAATAAGGCTGACCAGGGCTGAAAGAGATACATATATTTAGTTAAGTTTTTAAAAAGCCACTGAACATTGTTAAAATATATGTCTTCAATTTATAATAATTAATAATAACACAGGTAAACACCTAGATATTTAATTCTTATGTCACGATAAGTGGATTAAAAATATTTTTTAAGAGCATAATTATATGCAACCTTGAGAAAATTCATACTGTGCTCCTGAAATAAAACACACTACCAATACAATTTAAGACAATCTTAGTTACACCAAGCCACTCTCTATCAAAGGCCAGCAGAGATGACGTCAGCTCTCTACACAAAGTGTCACTGGTCAGTACAGAAAAGTGCCTGCAATTAGTCGGAGACATATCTGTGAATATCCAGTGAAAAATCAATCTGTGGCCCTGGTGCAAGGTAACACCAAACCAAATTCCCATATCGTAGACATGACTAGATAAAATTCTACTGACCTGGAGCCATCACTGAGAGCCACCAAAGGCCTCTTGCTCTCAAAGGCATCATGCATGGAATCTTCAAATACTGGAATCATCAAAGGACATATACTGAATACATCACTTAAGCTCCTTTAATATATGTCATTAGTGTGGTAAGTTTTAAAATCACAAGGAGTCAATTGCCTCCTCCCTTGGAATGACAAATAAATTTTGAGTGGGTAGCCAATGTTGTAAATACACCTCATCAAAATAAAATGTCTAATACTATACCACTAAATCAATTATCTATCAAGTAGAAGTGATTATCAAAATTCCAAGTTATTATCAACCCCAGTTATTAGCAATCAAGTCTACACCCTAGGTGGACACTCCTCACCAGGCTCTGGACTGGACAGCACCCTGAGGACCCTCACTGGACCCTGCCTCAAGGACAATACTTCATGGCTCTCTCCACTAGCCTGAATATCAGAGTATGTTCAAATACTGTTATGCTGATCTTCAATGTCAAAATTGCTTTATAGAATAAACCAAGGAAGACAAAAAAAAATCACATTGGAAAAATAGTCAGAAATTATATATTTTTTATTTTATAAATGTATAATTGTTCCACAAATAATAGTCCTTGCAGATTACAAAATTACAAAGCTGCCATTTCAAATGCCAATGAGGTAACAAATCACTGCTGGTTACTGTAAAAGATGTGATAACTACAATGCTTACTGTGACAATCCAGACTTGTACCCCATTCACATAACCCAGCACCAGCAGTAGTGGTGGAGAGCTCCCACTAGGTAGTGACACATCAGGATTAGCTGTGATATCTGAAACATTGCATGACTCATAAACATTGCTTTCAATGAATAGGGTGGACCCATACATCTAGGCTAACAGTTTTAAAATACTGACTCAAAAATGAAAGGAACCATTTTATAATTAAATGTGATTCCAATAGAATTCCTGTGAGGCCAAAATTGTCCCTGAATGTAAGCCAAGCTGAAGCTCTCAATTTGATGTTGATTTTAGTTCAAAGATGCCGAAATATATTTGAAAATTTTGTCTTAGAATGTGTTTTTACAGGGGAAACTTGAATATCAAGTAGTTGTCTTTTTAAAAAATTAAATAAACTCTTACCATTTACATCAGTTTGTTCAAACTTCACCCATTGAATTTTTTCTTTATCATCAGATTTCTGTGTACCAATGTAGGCCTGTGAAAATTATATTAATGTTTTATTTTGGATATACGAGGGTAGATAATTATCACAATAGAGCACGTTCAAAATATCACTGGTTCCCTACCAATATTACAGTGAAAATGACTGGCACAATATCCAACACAATAATGAAATTGCACCACCTATATCTACAGTGAAATGACAGGCAACAACTAACACATCTCATCATGCAGGCCATTTTACATTTATTCTGCCATTTCAACTTCTAGCAGCCAACTTTAAGAAAATAAGGATTGAATGCAAATGGTTTTCTTATTTTGTCTGTGTGTATGGTGGGGGGGGAGGGAAGGGGGAAAGATGTTACATTGGAGGAGAATATTGCGGGATGCCCCTGTATCAATGGTACTGTTCACTGTTTTCATCTCCTCATTAAATCTAAAGATGATAGCTCAAGTTAGAAAATAGGCAGTGATGCAGATAATTAATGGTTACGTTACCTGAGGTACAACGTCTTGAAAGAAATCAACAACACTCTCTAATACACTTTTATCACTGGAAAAAGAAAATTGAAGTGCATTTCAGATATCTTAGAGCATGGGTTGGTTACTCTCAACCACTGTTATCCCCTATACAATAATATGGTTTTATACACTGAGGGGCTTCGGTACTGGTAAAATCTGAAACTCTAAAGCTAACGCCAGGCCTAATGACAACAATGACAATATGAAGACTCGTATTTTTTGGATTCTAGATTTGCATACAATAAATCTTCACATCGACTGAATCAATTATTTGCAATACAGCATTGTACTAAAAGTTACAATCAAGTATGTGCATAGACTACGATAGCACAGAATCTCTTTGAAGAAAAATTGAGACGGCCACTTACTGGAGATACATTGAAATTTACTATTTAGTCATAACGTTATGAGCTATGTAACGTTTGTTTACCATGCTGGTTGTGGTCGCACCGTTATCCCGCCACTCCTGGAAACTCTTCGTGGCGATTCCCCAGACATATCGCACTATGACCACACTATTATATAGTGCACTAGATCTAGGTAACGATATTATTCAAAATAAACCTCTCCTCGTCGTTTCAAAACAGCTGAGAGAAAAATGGCGACTGTGTGACGTCATTATTTTGGTTTGTCCGCGAAGCAAGAAGCGGCGGCGAGGTCAACATAAACTAAGCACAGTCGGCCAAGCACTGTTTGTGTTCCGCATTCCAGTCACATTATAAGTGTTTTCCTGGGTTTTAAAAAGATACGAAGGAGAGACAAGAGTGACCTCGGACGCATAGTTAAGAGGGCAGGATGGAAGATAAGCGATTGGAAGAAGACAGACACCGTAAGAAAAATTGGAAGAGATGGGGACCTTACTTGTCCGAGCGGCAATGGGGCACAGTGAGAGAGGATTATTCTGCTGATGGAGCTTGGTATATGCTTTAATAGCTTAATTTCAAACAGACATATTATTGTATTCACGATGATGTACACGCTAATTGCGTAAAGATGTTGTTTTTTTTTTTAATTTTTGTATTCAGCCATTTTATTATAAAGAACAGAAAAGTTTAATTTTTAAATAAAATGATGTCCGTGGTTCCATTGCTTGTAATCTACATACTCAGTATACAGTATATGTACTAGTCCATCTGTATGCATTTAACTGCACATACGTCATGTACATGTAATTTAGTTTAGAGCTTTTATGTGTAGATCAAATAATATTTTAATGCAACAGCAAATGTATAACTCAGCCGTAATATGGAACATATTTCCCTGCTCGCATGACAATAAAAGTAATTCACTAATATAACTTGTTTATAACTGGTATTTTAGCTGGGATTATTTACCTCACGACAATGCCCGGTCAGTAGCATATCGTTGGGGAGAAGATGGTCTACTGGGTATAACTGACCGCCAATGTCGCCTGTGTTTAAGTCTTGCCCTGTGGAATGGGAAGGACCCTATTCTGAAGGAACGCCTTTTTGGTCTGACAGGACCAGAGGTTTGTTTTGATAATAATTTCAGTTTTAGTCTGTTATATTGATATGAGTTCTAAGCTTATGAGAGTGAATCCTTAAACTACCAGTATATACATACAGTTATTTATATTTTTGCTAAAGGTACGTGTAACATATATTGTCTGATTCTTGATCTATAGCGCTAGGACAGCTACAGAAGTTTATCTTCCTGTTTTATGTTACTAATTTTTTAATATAGGTATTAGGGTTCATCCAATTCCTGTTTTTAATCATTATATGTTCACATTTCTTCCTCAAATAATTCTGCAAATGTAGTATCAGAACTACAGCTGTTGCATTACATTAGAAGTTAGTAACAATAAATATCTTCAAACAAGACCAAAACTCATACTTATGGCCTAATCATTTCAAGGTCAAACAAGATGCCTTCATCAGGGAATAAGGGAATTAACTGTATTTAAAATAGTAACCCCTAACATTATATACTAGTAGCTGCATTCTCTGATCAAGATGTCCTGTTAGACACTGAAATATTAAAGTGGTGATAACTCTGAAACTATATAGCTGCTGTTTGAAGCAACTATTATTGTTACTCTTACTTGGAAATATTGCATGCAGGTACAACTGTACCTTTGATTTTCACTTTCACTTTCATTTCCATTTTGACAAGCCTTTAGCCACCATCACCATCACCTACCTACACTTCTTGCCCTGTTTACTGTCAGCTACATATACAAGCTTTACCAGTGACTTGTTTTTTTCTTAACGGTGGGTAAGGTTGTATCTTATTCATTTTTTATTCATTTATCTTAGCAACTCACATTATATACTCGCTTATTGCTCTCATTGCTATGGGCATTTGCTCTTCTTTAATATTGGTATTTTTAAAACTTTTTGATGTGCATTTACCATTGGCATACCTTTTAACTCACACTTGCATACTATCTGCTGAATGAACAATTAAGTTAAATGCCAGCCTTACATCCAATATCACTCTTGGTTGATGTAATATAAGATCCATGTAAACTGATTAAAATACAGCAAACCAATTGAATTAGGAAAAAATGGTTAAGTGTTAAAATTGACAAATGCAAATCTACTAGTACCTATTATTAACTCAAGAAGGTAAAGACTATAATTTTTTACAGGGTAACCATGGAGAAGATGTGAAAGAATGCTATTATTACTTAGATTCCACCCCTACTCACTCGTACATGAAAATGTTGTACAAATATCCTCAGTCTGAGTATCCATATTCACTGCTGGTAGAGGAGAACAGAAAAAGAGGGCTGAGTGACCCAGAGTATGAGCTTGAAGACACAGGTAAGACAAAGTAAAGAACTTTAAGCCTACTGGCCATTCCAGCCACCAGGGTCTATAGGCAATCTGTTGTCCTAAAGAAAAAAAGGGCCCGATTTTAATTGGATAAAATTTATAGAAGTGACATTGGGACCAGCAGGTGAACCCATTTTACAAAAGCTTTCTAGCCTGCCTAAAATCTGAATGACGTTTGGAATGGGACCAGTTGCTGATTGTTAAAAGTGTGTGTTTTATTTAAAGTTGTGATCCACTTAGAAAATTATAAGCAATTTCAATGAGTACTCTGATGAAGATATGACACCACAGTCACATAATTAACCGTTGATGAAATGTTTGTGCAATATTTTTGACTTGGATTTATGTTAGCGTACAAGGGTAAGTAATGAAGTTTGGCATTTTTATTGTGGATGTAAAAGGGGATCCACAGATTACTAGTAACTGAATATCTTGGTTAAAGATAAAAGAGATGCTGTTTTATTTTAGAACATCACCAGGAAGTAATATTACAGTACCTCTACATCTTTTTCATTTACTTTATTGGCTATTATAGATATTCTCGGTGAAAATAATTACTGGTATACTAAGAGCATGCCTTTCCCTGCATATTTTGATGATTATTATAATCAATTAGAGTTCTCTCAAATCGAATTCCATTTTCAAGGCTCATGGCTTCATTTTAGTTTATCATGGTATCAATATATCTGCCTATGATAATTTTGGTTATCATAGGTGTATTTGATGAGAACAGATACTGGGATGTGACTGCAGAATATGCTAAGAATACCCCCAGTGATGTGCTGTGCAGGTACACAGTAGCCAATAGAGGGCCTGAGGAGGCCACACTGCATGTGATCCCAGTGCTGTGGTATAGAAACACATGGATTTGGGGATGCAAGCATGAGGTATGAATGGACACCAAGTTTGTTTACACATGCTGTTGCAAAAATAGTATATATAGCTTAATTAATTAATTAATTAATTAATCAATTTATCAATTAACTAATTTAAAAACATCCAAACTATCCTGGCTTTATTCTGGTTTATAATTCCTCTATGGATATCCCACATTGCTTTTTAAAATGCTGGAAAAACTTGTTGTTCTCAGTAAACAAGGTTTCATCATCAGTGTTGAAATGTTTTGTGTATCAAGATTTGCATCACTGGTCTTAGGTCACTTTTTAATTTTCTAGATTACGTACTTGCAGCTAGATTTAACAATGTAAACTATCCATGCAGTAGTAGCATATCTGTAATTTTTAACGTAACATGGTAAGAAGTAATTTAATTATAATTTCACTGATTCTACAGTATTTTGTATGTTATTTTTTCAGGGTTGCACAAAAAAGCCATCAATTAAGCAACACAAAGCAGGGGAACTTCATTGCTCCCATGAGACTTTAGGTAATATTTAGAATATTCTGTTTAGTTTCCTTCACAATTAAGCAACATAATTTTATAAGTCAGTTGTGCTTTATGTCAATGTTTTAGCCTGTCCTTGTAACAACTAGTCTGAGTCAAGTGAAGTATGAGTATTACAGACTTGAATTCTTATTGCACACTGAACACAGCACTTCAAAAATGAGAAAACCTAACTTATCATGGAACAAAATATAAAAAAGAATGAAAAAACGTCTAATACTCTGTTTTTAATTTCAGGTCAAACCACTTTTATTGCTGATAAGGATCCTTCTGGGAAGCTCCCAGCATTTCTCTTCACTGAAAATGAGACCAACTACAGAAGACTTTATAATGTGGATAATTACACACCATACACAAAAGATGCATTCCATAGATATATTGTTAATGGTGAGAGCAAATACTAACATGTGTTTATTTCATATTTCATTTTTTCATTCTCTATTCATATTTTTAGTAAAATATTCAAAAAATGTTTAAATGCCTCAAATATATAAACAGTGTATTTCCTTTCCTGTTAAGGGTGGTTTGACTCGGGGGGGGGGGGGGGGGGGGGGGCATTGACTGGGGGAATT